AAGGAGCCACTAGCATTGCAATGTTGCTAAGATTGTACAACTTCTTTTGTCTTGGAGGAAAAACCCGATTATCCATTAGTAGTTTCTATTTTACTCGCTATAAACTGTAAATTTAAGACAAAAATTACCATCTAAATTTCATAGTTTTTCACGATTTCCGCAATTTTAGCATCATTGCAATGCTAGTGGTTCCTTTTTGCAAAATGCAATCCAATTTATGGACGGTCCCTAACAATGACCGATGAAGAAAGAGTTGAGCAACAGATTTGGCAATCCTAATCTGATTTGCGAATATTCTCGTAGCAAAGTGCTCACTCTAAAACTTCTAAGTCATCATTAGGCAAGTTTTGTTTTATTTTTCGCTCAACGGGGTTGCGGGGTTGACAGCACCCATAAATAAATACATTTATTTTAATGTGAGTTAAAAACTTCATTTTAATCCATAGCACCAGCTACCCAGTGAAACAACAATTCACATAAAGTGTTCCCTTCACAATGTTGTGCATCAACACTTTAAAAAATATAAATTTTCCTGGTTGTCTGTGACGTTTGAACTTAGCTCGGGTTGCGAACATAGCTTTTTTTTTCATTCTTGGACGCCGCCGGTGCCGCATCCATGAACGGAAGAGATATTTTTCTCGGGCCTAACTCCGTAAGTCGGGGAAAACTTATACCCAAACTTCCCAAGTTACTGAGGCATGTTTCAAATGGTCGCCCTCCCATTCCACTTCCAGATCACGATGACACTCGTTCGAAGCGGTTTTGCGTCGTTGACACAAATACTAGATAAAGTCGCCCTTTTTGGCGGGGCTTTCAAACTAGGGGTCCACCTTGGCCAAACCAAAGGGATCTCTGTGCTCTAAGAAGGCCATTTTTTGTGCTTCAGGTCACAATACAAGACCTGAGTTCAGAGTTAAAAATTTTAGAGGCACTTCGAAGTATCAAAAACTTTGAAAATAAATTCATGTGCGAGAAATTAGTGACTGTAGTGTAGTACACGGATAAAAATTAAGTGTTGATTTAGCATATAAATTGTTAAAAAAAGGCCCGTTAAGTTTCCAATGCTGATTTTACAATACAAAAATGCTAACATGACATTGACATTTGTTCGTTTTACAGTGAGTGTAGTTAAGTTAGCATTTCTTTAAATGTAAAATCAGCATTTGAAACTTGTCGAACATGTTTTTAACAATATAAATGCTGAATCAACATTTCATTTTTTTCAGTGTAGCAGCTGCTTAACATTAAATTCAAGCTTCCGTGGTCGCAATTAGTCACGTTGGTCTAATGAACAATTGAGAACATCCTGTACTTTCGAAAAATAACTGAAACTTGGTGTAGGAGACATTCTCCTTCTCTCTTGATATAAGGTACCTCTAAGTTTGCGAATAAAAAAATATCAGCACCCAAGAAAATACCTCAATCGTAAAAAGTATCGAAATGTGTATGGTGCTCGATTTGACCTTGTTGATTTTAATTTTGTATGAGATAGTACACGGAGAAAAATACTTCGTGCGTGGGACCCGAAGTTTAGGTCATATGGATCTTTGAAGTTTTTGGATTAAGCATCTGAACACTTCAGGTCCAGCTGCTGAGGTTTGAATCACACATCTGAATCTGAAACTTCAGTTCTTACATCTGAAGTGCTTCGGTTCTCACATCCGAAAAACTTTGGTTCTCACATCCGAAAAACTTTGGTTCTCACATCTGAAGTTGTTCAGATGTAAGAACTGAAGTTTCAGATGTTTGATCCGAACCTCGACAGCTAGACCTGAAGTGTTCAGATGCTCAATCCGAAAACTTCAGAGATCCATATGACCTAAACTTCGGGTCCCACGCACGAGGTTTTTTTCTCCGTATAGTGTGAATTTAACAGCAGCGAAACAAATCACATTTACATTTGTCGGGTGTATACGAATACACATGTGGCACGGCGCTATGATGCGAGGCGCCGGCATGCGACTATTCGAACTCCGAAGTTGTTATGTTGCATACGCACGTAATTGAAGGAGCGACGATTTTTCCAAGCTGAAAGTGACGCGCGCCAGCAAGCCGTGAGTTCCGTTTTACCTCCGTGAGCAAATTAAGCAAAAACCCACCGAGTCGCACATTGAGAAAAAAATTAGTTTGGCTTAGTTGTTCATTCAATTAATTGTAAATTTTCCCGGAGGTTTGAAACTTAAAACCTCTTCTTCTCCGTTCAAACTTAGTGTGACCTGGGGCGTTTTTCAACTCTCGATGGAATCGACGGATTCGAAAAAACATGAAGCGTTCTAATACCCATGAATTTTCAAATTTTCAATGCGTGAATTGTATTCACGACTGAGGTGCAGGTGAAGTTCTTCTCTCTTTATTGAAAAAATGAAATTACTTTAAATTGACTTAAGTTTTACTTGGTTTGGTTAACAATTCTGATTTTACTTACTCAAATAATTCGTTTTAATTTTAGATATATTTCTCATTTTATAACAATTCCTCCTATCAATATTTATGAATTTAATCAACAACGCATTTCAGCCGTTAGGATCGCTTCATCCTCTCTTTGTCTATCGATTTCAATGATCAGCCCTCAGTCAAAGAACGGATCTCGACCGAAATAGCGGATGGCGGTCAACTTGGCAACGACAGCCTTAAGCGAGGGCAAGTTGGGTAAGATGGTCGGAAAACTACCCAGATTTTCGTGTTCGTGGGGGCTCATCAAAATCGAGTTGGTGGGAGTTGGAGTTGGGGCGGTTTTGCGGCGCGGCGGCTGGAAGACCCGACTTTCTCGTCCGTGACACGATGCGTCGCAATGCCCCCTCCCCCCCTACTCTCCCCCTCGCCCCTCCCTCGGGGGCTCGACCCGAAATCGAAAATAATACGCACCTCCGGTACTGTCGTGCTACGTAAAAACGCCGTATGAACATTCGAGAGTTGCCGCACATTTCCTTCGATAAAATATTTATATTTGAGGAGAATTATTATCAGTAATTCCCCTTAACATTTTCAGACTTTTCGGATGGAATTACGAACAAAATTATCTGAGAAATTGGGAGAATAATATTCACAAATTTTCTTGAAAAATCAGTGATTTGTCAATGGAAATTTGGCAACGCTTGAAGGCTAATACGGCGTTTTTTCTTAGCACGGCAGGGTAGCTCTCAACTCAGCATTACTGCTATGGCCTCCATGCATATTCGAATTTGCGCGAGTGGATTTTGGCCAAATTTAACTAAAACGCAGCAACTCACGTCAAGTTTGAGCAGAGAAAAATATGTTTTAAGCTTCATGATGCCATAGAACACGATGTAAGGAACAATGCTTAACTACTAGCTTCAACTTCAAAATTTTTGTGTTAAATTTTGAACATTCGAAGAGAAAAGCTGACGGCTACCTAAATCTTCAAATTCCTACGAAATTTCCCAGAACGCGGTTCGGTGCGTTGTCGTCTGAATTCTATTCAATCCATGCTCGGGAATGATACATTATCATAAGAACTACATTTTGCAATTTGGAACTACAATTTTCAGCTTACTTTAGGAACAACGTATTTGCTATAAATTTCTAAACGCAGATGTGTGCTGCTAAATGAGTCAAAAATCGTAGTCCCTTATTGCAAAATGAAGTCCATATGATAGATGAATTAGATAAATTGCACATACAATCCGAGAATGATACATTGTCCAATTTCTTTGACTCTGCTTGCATGACCGTAGTCTACGTAAGTACAGCCACGTAAGTAAAAAATTGGTCAATTTTTTAACGGAAATATGAGAAACGGACCAGAAGACAAGGTGCAATTTTAAGCTTTAACACTCTTATACATATTTTTCGATCAAAATTTCACGTGTAGCACGATTCACGCACATAAAAATACTTGTATTAGCTCTTCACCATATAAATGATGTTTTTTACGCAAGAACGAGGGAGAAACATTAATCTATTATGAAGCCTGTCAAGACCGCTGCGTTGTAGCGCGCAACTTGATTCAAACAGACTTTTTATTTTTCGTGTTTTGTTTTTTTCGTGAGCGGGAAATTCAAACCTCTCTTAACCAATGTACACTAAGAACGTTAGTATCTTAGTTATGAACAAAAATCAGTAATTCTCCTTGCGCAAATCGTGTTTTAAGTAGAATTATGATGTGGAAACATTTACAGAATGCATAATTTGCACCTTGTCCAAAGGGTTCATTGTCGAAGAAATGAAGCTTTTTTTATGCGTTCTCGAAATTTGATTTTCACCTGTCACGTTTTTTTTTCATATATCCAGTTCAATAGCGGTCTTTGATGTATCTATTGGTTCGAAACATTGAGATTACCTCAATATAAACCCTTACAACGAGCAAGATACTTCCAGAATATTTCAAATTCTCATGCGTTTTCTGTCTCGATATCCCAAGAATGGTTGCATTTGGTCGAATAAAAGTTTCCGTAATGAGGAAATGCGTCTTACTGCTCGGTGTATAGGTGATTATTGAGGTTACTGCAATGTTTTGAACCAATTGACATCAATGAGCTGCATCGACAGAGCACTAGTTTGATGTATCGAATACGATTAATTGGATCCAAATTGGACCGCGTTTAGCAGAAAGGAACCAAACCACATCAGCTATTGCCTTTAACTGGGCAATTTAATTCTTCACTAGAAAATATTTGTGCGGATTCCTTTAAAAATTGTAAGAACTTTGCTTATTTTGTGCTGTGCAAAAAATTCATTGAAATTTGCACGAAAATGCGCACAACCGTTTTTATGTGAAAAATTAAATTGCCCAAATTCTTCAACAGCTGAAATGGCTTAGTTCCTTTCTGCGTAACGCGGTCCGATCGAGTAACGGAAAAAACCCAGGGTGAAATGAGCATTTACATGGCTGGACGTGAGGACCCAGGGTTATCGTATTAGTATAATTGATGAAAGAAGGAATCAAGCGTGTCATGACGGGGAGGGAGAGGTGACTAGGAAGGGGTTGGGGGGATGGGGGTCTCCTGGGGGATACGTGAGGAGTTGAGCGGGGAAATTACCTGATGAGTGTTGGTGATACTCTTGGCGTGTAGCTCCACGGGCAGGGCAATGGGAGTGATGTGCCACGCCTCGCATCGTTCGGCATCCCCGCTGGCGCCCACGCCTGGGCCGCCTGGGCCGGGGCCCTGCAACCACAAAATAACCACCGCTTAATTAGATAATCCCATTAACAAATAGCTCCCCCCGAGCCCCGCCCCCCTGTCTCGTGTCCTCGGCTCATCCGCCACGCTCCCAGACCGGAGTCAACCGGTGTCATCCTGTCTCGTCCAAAGTCTCCGTGAGGATTATGGCTATCATTGCCCAAAGTCCCAAACCACATATCTGCCGTGCTACGCAAAAACGCCGTAAATCCATTAAGATTTTCCTGCGTTTTTTGGAACTGAACACTTTCTAAAATAAAAACTGTTTTACCCATGCACCTCAAATTTTCATCTTAATTTCTTAATAGTATTCAAGAAAGAATTCTGTAAAAACATTGAACCAAAGTACACAAGTTTTTCTGCTATTATACATTGTTTCCAAAAAATTCAAAATAGCGTTTACGGCGTTTTTGCGTTGCACGGCAGATATAACCAATGACCAACAATAACCAATTATGCTTCGCTGTAATTGTGTAAAAAAGCGTAGTGTAAAAAACTGAAAGCATTACTATAATTATTGAAAATAATAAATTAATCAAGCTAAAAATTGCTAAATGTAAAATTAATAAACTCTTTATCTAAGTTGGTAATTGGTTATTGTTTGATCTTCCGGCCAAAGTATCATAAGCGCCATGCGATGTTTCAAAATTTTCGCTGTCATTTTATTTTTACACAGAGAAATTGTTGGTTGAATCTGTTTGAAAATTTCACTGAACTTTCTCGGCAGCGCAAAGATAATTCAGTGAAATTATCGGACAGCTTCGTTGCACAATTTCTCTGTAAAGAACTAACATGGCGGTAGAAATTTTGAACTCGATCCATTGTGCGCCGAAGCTATCCGCTCATTTTCCCGGATATTGGTCGCGGGCTATAGTGTCACCTTCCGGCCAAAGTATCACAAGCTCCATGCGATGTTTCAAAGTTTCCACCGTCATTTTTTTTTTTTACAGAGAAATTGTTGGTTGAATCTGTTTGAAATTTTCACTGAATTTTATCGGCAGCACACAGATAATTCAGTGAAATTATCGAACAGCTTCGTTGCACAATTTCTCTGTAAAGAATTAACATGGCGGTGGAAATTGTGAAAAGTTGCATGGCGCTTGTGATACTTTGGCCAGAAGGTGACGATATCTCCGTTTCGGTGTTTCAAAGTGGGCCTGTTCCAAACTTCAGTTAGCGTTAGGAGTTATTTCTTGTATGTAGAAAATAGCTCGATCATCACGCTGAGCGCTGGGTGGCAAAGTTTCATGAAAAACAAAATCTTGAAATTTCAAGTGAAATATTTCATGAAATTTCAGAAACTTTTGAAAGGTATTGAAAAGTACTGGTTCATATTCATGTTTCGCAAAATTTAAAAATTGAAATTTTCCTCTATTGTTGTATATTTGAGTGCGGGTTGCATACTCTAGCCACTGAAAAGTATGAAGTTTTTCATAGTCTCGTGAAATTTCATGATATATTTCACTGAAATTTCCAATCTTTAATGTTTTTCTGACGTTTCATGCCACCCTGGCTGAGCGCATCGGAAAAGTCTGAAATACGCTCCTGATTTCTCGATCTATACCCACGTAAAAAAATATGCGTTTTGAAGCTTCCCGCTTCAAGAAACGATACTACGGCACAGGTGAACATTCCGTAAAGAATATTCTTTCCGTCGAACCCTTGCACACCAGAGGATGCTACGCAAATATCGGGTAGCGATCTGACGACCGGACTAGTCAGCCAATCAGTCCTTGGGTTTTCAGTCGGATGATAATAACTATAAAAAGTCGTCAAGTAGTTTTTAATGTCTCCAAGTTGTTTTATGCGTAACATCGCATCGGGCAGTAGTTTTAAAGACCCATTTCCGGGAGCAACATTCCCTCTTAAAAGTCAGAGATGCATGGCAACTCAACACTCGCTTATCAAACCTTTATAACTTGTATTCTCTTCGTCCTAATAAATTCATCTTGGCCNTTTTTTTTTTTTTTTTTTTTTTTACAGAGAAATTGTTGGTTGAATCTGTTTGAAATTTTCACTGAATTTTATCGGCAGCACACAGATAATTCAGTGAAATTATCGAACAGCTTCGTTGCACAATTTCTCTGTAAAGAATTAACATGGCGGTGGAAATTGTGAAAAGTTGCATGGCGCTTGTGATACTTTGGCCAGAAGGTGACGATATCTCCGTTTCGGTGTTTCAAAGTGGGCCTGTTCCAAACTTCAGTTAGCGTTAGGAGTTATTTCTTGTATGTAGAAAATAGCTCGATCATCACGCTGAGCGCTGGGTGGCAAAGTTTCATGAAAAACAAAATCTTGAAATTTCAAGTGAAATATTTCATGAAATTTCAGAAACTTTTGAAAGGTATTGAAAAGTACTGGTTCATATTCATGTTTCGCAAAATTTAAAAATTGAAATTTTCCTCTATTGTTGTATATTTGAGTGCGGGTTGCATACTCTAGCCACTGAAAAGTATGAAGTTTTTCATAGTCTCGTGAAATTTCATGATATATTTCACTGAAATTTCCAATCTTTAATGTTTTTCTGACGTTTCATGCCACCCTGGCTGAGCGCATCGGAAAAGTCTGAAATACGCTCCTGATTTCTCGATCTATACCCACGTAAAAAAATATGCGTTTTGAAGCTTCCCGCTTCAAGAAACGATACTACGGCACAGGTGAACATTCCGTAAAGAATATTCTTTCCGTCGAACCCTTGCACACCAGAGGATGCTACGCAAATATCGGGTAGCGATCTGACGACCGGACTAGTCAGCCAATCAGTCCTTGGGTTTTCAGTCGGATGATAATAACTATAAAAAGTCGTCAAGTAGTTTTTAATGTCTCCAAGTTGTTTTATGCGTAACATCGCATCGGGCAGTAGTTTTAAAGACCCATTTCCGGGAGCAACATTCCCTCTTAAAAGTCAGAGATGCATGGCAACTCAACACTCGCTTATCAAACCTTTATAACTTGTATTCTCTTCGTCCTAATAAATTCATCTTGGCCTCATTAGAAAGCTATTAGTCTTGTCTTTTCAGCAAAAAAAAATGTCTACCCATTTTACTTTTGAAGTTATAACATCTGTCCCACTACTTTTTGTACAGTCTGTGTATACCTGGCACACAAGCGTAAGAAAATAACCCTGTGAACGCATCCGATAGGAAGATTTTATCTGTGGAGCTTCACACAAAACCAACTGAAGGAGAGTATTTTAAGGTCCACGCTTCATTCATCCATGGAATAAAACTCGAACACGTCTATCGGAGGACGTGTATTTTACACGAATGGAAATAAACCGAGGTGCGAACCTGAGGAAGTGGAAGGTTTGAATAGAAAGTTTCGATTGGGTGAGGAGGGGAGACTAAAAGCAAAGTAATCGATTTTGTCCGAAAATCATCACTGGCGGGGATAAGTTACATAGTGAAAGTGGATCTGTGTCGTGCCGTGAATGCAAGGGCCCTTGAAGTGCACACGTGTACTTGATGAAATAGTGTTGTCGCCATCCCCAACACCGAACCATCTCCACTACACTTCGCCTCCTGCGAATTTTAACACCTTGTATCGGAGAAATGAGACAGTACATAGCGGATGGAGGGATGTGCATTTTTTCAATTTCACAGATTTAAAATGTAGGAATATTCAAAATTTACTCTGGGAATTTATCACATTTGAAGTGATATCAAAAATATTTTAAACGATATTTTAACATTTGTTTTATTTTTTTTTTTATTTTTTTTTTTATTTTTTTTTTTAGAAAAAATTGCTAAGAATCCTGTTAAATTTCGTATTTCGTAAGAAATCTCGTACATATTTAAGTACACAGTTTCAAACATTATTCCGGTTTTACTGCGCCAGTTCTGGTCGAGACTTTCAGCCAACGTAGAGAAATACGTCGCGTAAACATTCGAATGGTTCCAAATTTCACTCGATACAATATTGATTCTCTATAAGAGTTAAGAATATTCTTCCTCGAAATGTTGAGATACTTTACATTATATGGACCACATTTTGCAACATGGGACCACTTTCTTTTGCTCATCCATATAATCACATATGTTATAGATGGGAAAGCTAATAGCGCTTTCTTTGTTTTTTAAATGAGTCAAAAACAGTAGTTCCTTACTGCAAAATAAAGTCCACATGTAACAAGGTGGTAAAATAGTGCTCAGTCTACACTATTTGTCGTTTCTTTGACGTATCTCGATTTCTAAGTGAGCCCCGTCTTACATATAAAATCATACTTCCTGTGGCTCATGCGAAAATCGAGATACGCCCTTACTCCAGAGGAGCGACGCATTTAGCGGGGAAGAGAAGGGTGGAAAGTCCAGGCATTTCGATTACACTCCTCCCCCTTTTGGTACTCATTAGCGCTCACAATTATTGACTCTATATACTTGAAATTTTTGAACTTGCTTGTTACACACATCTCGGGAAACGTGTCTTAATTTTTTCTTTCTCGATTGTAGGCAAAGTTCATACGTAGATTGCGAATACAATCTTTTGAAAAATTGAAGGAAAAAAATTCCAAATTTTTGTGATCGAAAACTACTATTTTAATGAAGAGATATCTGACAAGAGGTTGGGAATGTAGGCAACGTGCGTTACAATAAAGTCTCTACACAGAGGGAAAAAGTTCATCCCATCACACTTTTCACCCATAGAGAAAGCTCTACTCGGATGTGCTTGGATGAGCTTTTGCCCCGTATGTTAAGATTTCATTGTAACGTACGTTGGCTACATTTGGACTATTTTCTACCAAACAAAACTATGTGAATTAAGACATGAGCCCTCAGATCCACAAAAATATGTGCTTATCAGGGCTCACGCCATAATGCACATAGTTCCGTTTGATAGAAATACGTCCATTTCCAACTTAATGGCCAAACGAATTGTGCGTCCACCGCAATCAGTTTGTGAAATCTGACAAGGTTCAAGGACTCACAAAGCGTTCCGCCTAAGCAGGGCAGATTTTCTCAGCGTAATGGAGATCGGAATCCTTCATAAAAAGCTGTTTAGGTATGATAATGAGTCCGATATCTCTCGACGAAGGAATGATCTCTGAGCGCTCTCTTTGTGAAATTCAATCGAGTCCGTATAAGTTTGTGTTACGGATGTATTGGTGTATTGATTTTTTTCCTTTGTAGATGCTGAGTCGTGGGCGGGCGCCGCACAATGGCTCGAGTCCATGGCGAGGTCGGACAAAATTTGGAAACTTTAAAAGCTCAGAACTCCGTTCGTACAAAACTCTGAGGTTTTAAAAGTTATGCCATTTATTTCTTTGTGACATTTTATTCTCGGTGCACCCCTTAAAATTTAACGCAATAGCAATACCCAACACAGCCGACGCTTCCGCGTGTAAATCGCAATCGGGAGCACGGAGTCAACCAAAGCTCACCTTCATCAACGAGAAGAATCGTGAATGTAAAGACGCTGGGTTGTTAGCAAATGGTTAGAATCTCGTCCAGGCACATGTGTTTAGGTGGATTGGTGTCGGCCATGTTGCATATTGTGTAGTATTCTAGTGGGCAGGGGTTGGATAGAACGACACCTCTAACGAAATGTTCACCTGTGCCGTAGTATCGTTTATGAAGCGGGAAGCTCGAGGAAACGCAAAATTCTTACGGATATTGTGAAGTTAGAAGTGCATTTCAAACTTTTTCAATGCGCTTATGTGACTTTTGAGACATTTGTTAATAGGAAGAACTCTTATCTGCACGTTTCTATGCTAAGTGGAACTATGTGCAAGTAGAAAGGTGGGGTGTGCTCGTTAGTTGAGGTCCATAAGAATGAATGGGGATTTTAAAGCGCTAGGGACGTCAGCGGCAACGAAGCCGTCTCCA